CATCATTTGAGTCTCACCACAAAGCCTTCTTTGGAGAGGCTTCTGACCCTGATTAAAGATACCACCTGCTAGTCACTCTCTATCACTGTGGAGTCTCTGGCCACTGGAAGCACCTGAGACATAGCAGATGGTCAGTAAAAAAAAAAAATGAATAGATTAAGATAAGCCATTATGCCCCAACAGAATCCCATAATTTGTCTGTTTGCTATTTGAGCCATGTGTATTGGAGACAATATAGGCTTGAAGATTTAGCCTAAGATTTATTGCTTCTGATTCTTGCTTTGTTCATGTCTGTGAATATCTTCAAAGAACATGGTTTGCAATTTTATCCGCTACAGAACCACATTTTGCTCCTGTAATTCATGTGAAAACGATCTTGTCGCACATTACCATTTGCCTACCTCTTCCATTCTTCCCTCCTTTCTTAATAATAGAACCCTTTGGGGCAATGCACCCAGTTAAAAATACACATACTCACCCTCCCAGGCTTTCTTAACAGCTACAGCAGGCAGCCATGTAACCTAGTTCTGGCAGCTGAGCAGTACAAGTCGAGTGAGGCTTTGGGAAAGCTGTTGCTTTCTTGATAACAAGGTAGTGACTCAGGCGCTATGTGTCTTTTGCCCTTTGACCGTCTACCCTTCTCTCCACTGGCATGTAGACGTGATGCTGAAGGTGAAGGAGTTGTCCTGTAGAGCGGGTGCTTTCAGCGCTCTGCCCACAACACCTCGACACTCACCATTCCTATTTTCACCACAGGCTTCCTACCAAAAGCTCTGGTGACTCTACCTGAGGGCTTTTGCTGGCTACAGGATCATGCTTAGCTTGTATGCGGCAGGGTGGAAGTGTCAGAGAGTTAGTGACACTGGGAGCAGCCCTCAATGACAGATGGGAGTAGAAGGGAGTTGGTGCATAAATATCCGAGCTCCTTGGCCTTCAGGTGGGACAACTTTGAGGCATGAGCTACACACACTGGGGGCAGACAGAGCAGCCTGAGGTCCCAGCGGGACTGAACACCAGTTGCCCACAGCAGCAACTCACTCATTAACGCATCCTGTGTTGGCTTTCTTTTCCCTGTCTCACTTCCCTAATTTCTACCCTCCTGGGATCACCTTCCAAATAAACCACTTGCACATGAACCCTTGTCTCAGGGACTCCAGGGGGAACCCAATCCAAGATATCTCATGACCATGCGGATGAAAGCCACATGCTAAGAGTGGAGAGGAATGTAGAAAGAGCCTGACTCTTTGATGTCAGACTTGACCACCTGCACCAGCCTTGGACTGACTTCCTCTGGACTTCTTGTTACTTGAGAACAATAAACCTCTTACTTGGGTAAGCTGCCACAATTGAGTTTCAATGATGTAGGGGAGCAGAATTTGCCATCCCAAAGTGTGTCTCTTTGGCTTGATTATTTTTAAGAACGAAAGGCTCAGGAAGAAACTTTGACCTTCCCCCTAAATACCTAAAAGAATGTAAGATGGAAGGCCTGTCCCAGGAAGGGACAGGTTATCAGCATAGATAACTATAGTCTAATATGAACTAGGTGTGGTAGACAGGGAGGAACCTAGCAAGGTCCCTTTGATCAAAGTCCTCTCCATGTCCTGTTCTCTGCATAGCATGGCACACATTTGTTGACTAAACATTTGCATTTCCATCTCCGTGTGAATTGCCTTCCTACCCTTTGAAGTCCCAAACCACTACCCTCAACATCCTCTTTTGGCTTTAGCTGAAGGTGGTATTTAAAGTGGTGGCTTTGGCCACTTTGGCAATTTACTCAGTTTTCCTGGGTTTCTCCCATGTATACATGTTATTAAACTATTTGTTTTTCTCCTGTTATTGTCTCATGTCAATTTAATTCTTAGATCAGCCAGAAGAACCTAGAAGGTAGAGGAAAATTTCTCCTCCCCTACAATGGCATGCAGCCAAATGTGACTGCAACAGAGAGATCTGGAAGAAGCTTTAGTTGAGTACAAATGCAACCAGTCATCAGCTGGACATGCCTGCTAACAAAGCTGACACCCTGGCTGCATGATTACTAGCCCCTTACCTGTTATGGCATGTTACAGTTGGCACAGCGTTTGCTTTTATGTTGCTATATTTAATCCTCACGTTAATTTTGCGAGGTTATTATCAACTCCATTTTCCTGAAGTTCAGAGAGGCCAAGTCCCAGTATTACATGGTTAGCGGTAGAATTAGAACTCCAAGTCCTGTGATCTTCTGCTATAGGGAGATAGGGGCTAGGTTTTCATTCTAAGGAATCTGTGGCATTTAAGTAATGAGTTGTACCTCTACCTGTTCCCTTTGCCTATCTCCTGAGATCCTGTGCTTTTCCATGCCTGCTTTCCACCATCACCCTTCACTCCATGGGACTGCAGATATTTGCTTCTACGGGAGCTACCACTCCCACCTGCCAAATCTCATCACGAACACCACACACTACTCATATGTTCTCCAAAGCACGTGCTAAATCCTCTTATCTCTAGGCTTTTGCTCAAGCTCTTGCCTTTGCCAGGAAGGCTTTACTTCAGAAGTGGGAAATTGCTGCATTTGGGCCCAGCAACGATGGTTTGGTAACTGCATCCTCATGGCAACTGTAGGCAGGACACCCATCTCAGCATGGCTCATAGCACCAAAGACATAGATGCTTAGTAAATATTTGTAAAATTGAAATGGGTAGCCATGGTGGACTCCAAGTTGAATTCAAATTTACTCCTGTTTAAAATCATTTACATCAAGTTCCATCACACATAAAAATGAATATATACTCTACAGAAGATTTCAGACAAATGAAATGTACTCCATTGAACATTTAATAAGTTACAGTCAAGTACAACTTTTTTTAACAAAAGGACAAAATCATAATGTAAGTGTTCATTAAAATGGTGAACATTTAAACATTATCTTAACATACCAAATAATACTCATTTACTTTTATGAAATGTGTTGAGAACCTAGGAGTTTATGTATAAGGCTAAGCATTTTCATCATTCCTGGCCTAGATGAGAAAAGATTGTGTTCTCTTACTGGTGACTCAGGAAATATGATATACTTGTGTTACAACTGCTGGTGTGTGGAGACAAGGCTAGCACCTATGACTCTGGAAAACAAGCATGCCATGCTCCCATGCTGCTCTTGGACACAAGAGACAAAGTCTGATCTAGGGTGAAATTACATGCAGGGCGTGGAGAAGACTGCACCAAGGGGTTCACTGAGGCTTGAGAACCAAAGGGAAAGCAGTGTGCTTTGACTTTAAAATACATGTTAAGTGAGGCAAAGAAGCCAGGAGCCTTCTCACAACCACTCCAGGTCAGCAGCTCCCAAGATATTAATATCAAGGTAGTTGGTAGGAAATACAAATGCTCACTGGGCCTGACTCAAGAATTAAACTATCATAACAGATCCAACTTTGGGGATGGCTTATCAAACTGCCTATAAACTCAAGTGGGGTATCAGCTCAAAAGATGCCTGTCTTGTTTCAGTTGGTAAGGAATCTTTAAAAATGTTTACATGTCTATTTTTGGTAAATTTATTTCACAAAGCCACCATTTCATTTTATAAAGACAATAAGGTTCATTACATCACAATATAAGAAAAAATTTGTAAATGAGATGACAGAACTATTTCAAATACATTTTGTAGAGTAAAGGCATTTTCACTAACTATAAACTCCAGTGAGACAAAAGGATAATTACACCACAGTTATTATCAAAAGACTTTTAGACTGAAGTTTAAATTCAAAAGGTTAAGGATTTTACAAAAAGATAACACGAGACTATTAATTATATATGAAAGCTATTTGATTAGATACAGAAAATATTAATAGGTGTAGTTTTCTTCCCCTTGAAAGTTAGCTTGAGAAAGTAATACCAACTCCAGTTAAATTTTGACCTACTTTAATTCCTTATCAATGGCACCATAACCTGGAACATTCAAAGTAATCTAGTTACTTTGGCCACCAAATTAAGTCACCATTATGTTTCTAAAATAATTTATCCAGGATACACTGGAGTAGCCTATACCTGTTATATAGTATTGTATAAACCTACAGATTTTTTTCAGTATTTCATATATTTTTCCAAAGTCCTGTTTCCCAGGACTTTGATCATTAAATACATCTACTTTAAGGTTCTAAACACTCATGTCCATTATGAGAACACGTGGGGTAAACCTATTCTCTTTAATGTGACAAGCTACATTCTAAGAAATGACCTCAAACCTGCTATACTGGGACAGGGTTGGAGGTACTATCCGAAGATATGAGGGATGTTCAGGGGACAGACTTTGGACAAGGCATTTAAAAAACTTTTAATTTCTCAAGAGAAACATTCTGGGAAGGGAAAAAGTGTCCTATAATCTAGGGTATGTCCAAGAGCCCTTGCTCTCATAGCCAAACGTATGAAAACAGTTTTTCTTAAACACAGGTCCGTGAGCCAAGGCAAGCTTTGGCTAAATGATGGGTAGCTTTTGTTTGGCTCTGGAGGTTTCCATGGAAACAGCCTGAGACAGAAAAGGCAGCATTATGATCTTTATCTGTAATGCCATCTGATAAAACTGCACATTGATTCATTCATGCTATCCAGAGCAGATGTATTATTTTGATAAGCCTGGACAAAGGAAGGCATGAGTTCTATCCAGCCACGCTGAAATTTCCTGCCTTCCTCCATTTGAAACCTTAAATTAAAATCTCCATAAAACCTCCTCTGAACATTTCTGTCAGGAACCTCTAGTTCAAGTAATGCTTCAATAATCAGAAGCCAAATGAAGAAATGTGAAGCACCAAGTGGAGCTCCACTGCCAAGTTCTTAAAATTATATGACACCAAGCATCCTGTAGCTGAAGAAATTATTCTGAAGAGTATTTACAATTCCATTATATCAGATCTCAGCCAGGTAAGAAATATTGTCTTAAGTGTTTATTATACACAGTTGAATCAGGTGGCATCATCCATAATTTTTCTCCCTCTTTATGTCTACATCATTCGTATGTGTGTGTATATATATCTATATATCTGTATCTGTATATTTAACATAATAACACACCACATACCATTATCTAATATTATTTCAGGTTAATGCTTCTCAGAAATGACACAAAAGCAGCCCTATCTCAGATTTCTATATCTGAAGTACACAAAAATAAAAACCTCGACAACAATAAAATATAAACAAAATAAACCAGATAAGGAGGCATGCAACCTTTAGCACCATGTTTAAGACCGCGGAGGGCAAGGGTGTAGACAGAGGTCTAAAGAGGAATCCAGCTCTGGGTTTCCCCCTGGAATGGGATCCCAAACACAGAACCCTCTTGTAAAGCCCAGTACTTTTAAAAAGGGAAATCCTGAGAAATTCTATTAATAGAAATGTCAAAATCCATGATTTACCAGAGACAGATGATTTGACATTGTTTCTTACTCTAAAAGCATTGAAGACATTATTCCTTAGGAGAAAATTGCTCACTTTTGGAGATCAGATGGGAAATCACTGCTAGCTCTATGAACTAAATGATGCCTCAGTAAGTTAAAAATACATGATATATCCCCCAAAAGGACTAATTTACTCGTGGAAAGTAGTTTACTAATGAGCAGTTAGCTCCCTGATATCTGTATAATATAGACAGGGGCTACACTGAGAAGATTGAACCGAGCACATACAATTGCACACTCCACAAGGCCAACCATCTGAAAAACACTCACACCACTATGCACTATAGCATTGATGTGGGAACCTGAATCAAGGACTAAGTCTCAGCTTGGTCCTTTCCATAAAAAGGGACTAAAAGTCTAAGGAAGGGTTTATTTAGAGATGTGCTGAGTGGTTTAAAGGTGACAGGTAAGAAGTTATAGGGCTAGAAATGACTTTAGATATCACGTAATACAAATCTCTCATCTTATTGGTGGGAAAACTGAGGCCCCAACATAAGCGTCAGCCCTAACCAATGGAAGAACCGTGAGCAAGAAGAGAAGCCATGGAACTCTTAGCGCAGTACTTCAGTACCTTCCCCATTGAGTCTATCTCTCAGGCTCCTTTAAATCTTAACATGTATCATTTACTCAAGCTTGAGGAAAATGACTGAAAACTATCAGGGAAAACTCTGAATTTTTACAAAGCTTTTGGCAATAATTCACGTTCCGATGTGCTTAATATTAACAAGGGGAAAACCCCAGTCATCTTTTGGTGAAATGTTATTTTCCTGCATGAAACAGGTTCCTGTTCTGAGAGCTATTTTTGTAGGTACTGGGATAGCTCACAGCTGGCAGCTGTCATATGCCCCATCTTTGTAGTTAGAGTTCAATTCGGCTGATCCTGTATCATCAGGCGGGCTGAAATGGCTGCTATCTTGAGAATCTGTATCAATACTTTTGGTCTCTGACTGAAGGTGGACAGAAACTTGAACTGCTATCTCCTGGCCTTGTTCATTCAGAGAACCATCATCTGAATCTCCTCCTGGTGAATTACTCCGACCCATCTCTGGGTTAATGACATAGATGCCACCTTGAGCATTCAAGGCAGGTCTCTCTTTAATTCTTTCTCCCATGTCATCAGGGTCATCCACTCGCACAGCTTCAAACATCTCCTCAACAAAAGCCCGACAGTTTAGAATAAGGGGCGGAAGAGGGACACTTCTTGCCAGTTCTTCAATATAACGAGCAAATTCCATGGTCTTAAATTGTGTAACTTTGGCGAGCTCCAGAGTCTTGGCCGAGGTGATGATGGGGATGCGTTTTGCAATTTCAAAGGCCTTCTGAAGTTTCTCAGCCCCTTCAGTTCTGAAGAATTCATTGATAGCCTTCTCAGTCTTACGAAGATGGCTGCTCATCATGCACAGCCGTGTGACATTTAAGATGAGAGTGATAGTAAAGGCAATCAGGCAAACAATCATGTAGTAGACACTCATGTCTCCCGAGGTGAAGATAACACGCAGGGTGACAGAGTAGGAGGCACGAATTGGAGAGGTGACAAAACATGTATAGAGCCCACGGTCATCAAAGGCTACGCTGGTGATATTCAGGAAGTTATCAGAAACCAACCATTTTCCACCTGATAACCCAACAGAAATAAAAAATTATAGCATAAAGATTATTCTTACTAAATATGCCAACTGCCTTATCAATATTCTGCCTCTTCATGAGAGTACTTAACTCATCTATTAGGTTCTGCTATTTATTTAAGTCACGTAAGGAAGGGCAGACTTTTACATCCAGAGTTAGAATTTAAATAGCCTGGAACTTAAAAAGAAAATCAAGATCTTCCTTCCTAACACTAATGATTATCATAGTTACATTTCATTGCTAGATGGAACAATGCTTTGAGGGAGACAGGTATGTCTATATAATGCTAAATGACTAACTAAAAAAAATGTTTATATATATATATATCTCTACCTACACCTTTTTATATACTAGAAGGATATGCCTCAGAAATATAAAACAATGGTTATTTCTGGGGTAATGGGTTACGAGTAATTTTTATTTTCTTCTTTTTATTTAACTGTTTACTTTTGGTAATAAGAGACAAAAGTTATTTTAAAAAAACCAACCCTACCAGTTTAATGCATTTGTTCAATTACTAACTGGCTAATCTGGCATGCTTTGCACATGTTAATTTGTTTTGTTAGAAAAGGTCTGTTGATGATATCTTGATTTTCTGGCAAGAGTAACTGAAGCACAAGCCAAAATATATGTCTTACAGGTCAGCTTGGCAAAGAGAATAAAGTTGCCCTTAAGATGCCTAGGCTTCTGTTTTAAACTTAGAACATGTGCCTCTCTTCCATCCATGAAGGTATCTTCATTTGGGTAACATGTATACTAAAGTATATGAGTATGAAAAGCAAAGCATCCTGACCACCACTTTGATGTATCCTTTAATAACCTGGCTCTGCCTGCACAATTCTCATGTTTGTGGTAAATTCTCAGTGTACTCTGTGCTTTAACTATGAAAGCCATTCAAAGATGGAATGGATGGGCTAATCTGGGGTGTCGAGGTGAGCTCCAATGACTATAGGTGGTATCCCAGAGGAGGCTGGGTGATTGCTTGTTAAGCACCACCTGAATGCCTAACCTTTAAGATCTCTTTCATCCCTGAGATTCTATGGTTCTCGATTATTTTAGTGGCACATCAGTTAGGAAGCACTCTGGATTGTGCTCATTTTTATCATCAAACTTCATCTAAATTCTACAGTTATATTTAAGAACCATCACTTCACTAATGTAAAGAGGAAGAAAATACGTAGCTATGAATACAGCCATTATTCCACAAGCTTCTGTTTTATGAAGTTGGAGCTATGAAAAGGATACCCTATGAATCCCAGGTATGATGAAGTACATAGACTCCATTCATCCACCACTGTGCTATGACCACAATCTAAACTTTCTAGCTCACTTGCTGATAATAGCTCAAGATTTATGAACCTTATACTAGACTGACATGCTCTTTAAACTCTTCTCACTCGAGATTCATAAAATTTAATACAATTTTCCAGAGCTGCAACTGAAAGCATCAATGATAGATGTTAGTGGTTTTCAAAGTAAAGGCAAAATGTGAAAATAAAACTGCCATTCCACTTGGCTGGTCTTATCCTATCCTAAGCTTTGTTTATGCTTATAGTCAGTCTGTAAGGATCACATCAATTACATAATTCAAATTCAAAGGAGATAAGAATCTAGTTCAGTGGGTCCAAATGTGGAACCCCAAATCATTTCAAAATATATATTCTGGGCACCACTCTAGACATTCTGATTCAAAACGTCTATATTCTTAAGAAGCTGATTAAAAATATTCTGTTCTTTCTAATAATTCAAACTCTTCAATCCCTTGGTGGCCAGTTACTCAGTTTGTAGAAGGTTAAAATGTTTAGCATATACTTTAGAAGGAAACATCACCTGTCTCCTTTTCTATGTTTTCCATTCTATTACGAACAACCAAATATCTTTTATATTCCAAGAGGTTAGGCTACCTCTCCAGCAAAAAAGATAAGAGGGGCCTTTTCTGAAAGTGTAGCTTGTGAGGACCCCAGAATTTAATCTTTATCCCATTGATTTTTCATGGCGATTTCTTTTTGAGGTGCTTTAACGCAAGCAGTCTTCAAAAAGATCCTTCTAGCAGAACATTAGCTAAGGAAACAGTATTCTGATTAAGATGTGTTCACAGGTCCATAAACAGTAAAATCAAATGAAAATATGTCAAAAAGGAGACCTTGGTCGCTATTATGTTTGTGTGAATTTTAAGAATGAGAGACAAAAAATATAAGAGAAACTGTTTTCAAGTAAAGTGAGGTATAGAATAGAAAAAAAAATTGAGCTAAGGGCTCACAAGAGCTTCTCCTCAGTGCTCTTCTAATACTCAGAGGGACTTCAAGTTTTATGCACAGATCTATAATCATTTTTAAAAACATCCTGGATTTCCTCTAACATTTTTAGTAACTCATTTCCAAGCAGAAATTTTTTTATTTATGACAAATTTACTTAAGTCTAGCCAAAACCTTTCTTGCAGGGCCACCACAATAACTATTCACATTACAGTCCAGGTGAAGGGTGCCCCTGGAGTTGTGCAGTATACAGTCTGCACAGCTGAATGCAGCAGCCCTGATGTAGTCTACCTTCAAGGAGGAAAGAACCCAGCTCACCAAGAAGAGAGAAAATAGCTTACTGTCATCATATGAACATCTTTTAAATTTATAACTATTCTTTATTTTTTTCTTCTTCTGGTTAAGTAATTATAATTATTTTGCTTTTTCTGATGGGTATACACTCCAAGCCTTTCAAAAGTTTTAACTATTCACCCTGGTATGTCATCTTTGAGATTTCTTGTTGAATATGCCATAAAACCAAGAGAGAAGCAACAAGAAATGAGCAACCTCAATTAATTATACCCTGGAATAGTTACTTACCTCTGCCTTCGTCATCCAGTTTCTCTCCTTTTGAGTTGTACCAATGGATATCTTCATAGTGGTCGACAGTGAGAAGACACTCGATCGAAACACTAGTTCCCTCTTTGGCTATGATGACATCATCACCTGAGTGGGAACCTGCTGTGAGTTCAAAGCTTGAGGGAAATGATGCATTGAAAGAACTCTGATTTGCTTCCAGTGGGGCCACTTGACTGAAGCCTACATCTTCCAAAACAAAAGCAGCTGGCACAATAATACTCACCACTAAAGTGAATAAACAACAATGTGGCTTCATGGGAAAATGGGAGAAAATCTTATTTAATTTGGAGAACTCAAAAGCTTCTATACTATAACAAGAGCACAGTGAGTAATTTATTGCCTGGTATTGGAGTTTTCCAAAAAAGTGGTAGATCGAGGTGTATTTTGAAGTCTTCAAGATTAAAAGATGTGGGTGGAGACCAACCTAAAAGAAAGCCAGATATAAAGTTTAACCAACAAAGACTCATAATGGGGTGAAGCTCTAAGTTCTAGAAATGAACAGATGTGAAATTGATTAGAATAACTGGCGCAGACATCAGGGAGTGAAACAGAAAGACCACCACCTAAAGATCTCACACACAGATGGTAGAAAGAGCACTGACCTGGGCAATGTCAGTCCTAGCTTCTGATCCTAGCTTTGCTCCTAACAAGCTGTACGACTTTGGCAAATAGCATTCTCTCTGGGCTGGTTTTCTCATCTGTCAAATGAAGGACTAGATGAGACAATCTCTAAGGACTCCTCTAGTTCTGAAATGCTATGATTCTGTTTCACTCTGACAAATTCTATGCAACAGGGAGCCAATGAAGGCTAAAATATTTAGCTTAATGATCTTTTATTTCAACCTGCACCACTACCATCTGTTGTTATATCAATGATGTAAATCAACTGGTACATCATAATCATAACCATGGAGCTCAAAATTTGAGTAATTCAAGTACACAGACACATTAGATATAAACAATGCAGAGACAATTGAAGTAGTTTTTTTAATATTAGAAAGAAAATTGCACTACTACATATACATAAACAGTTATTGATTTCTGAGGCTAAAGAACCTCCCTCCTGGGCAAGACTGTCAGACAAAAGAATTTTCTTTTAGGGGCCAGCCCCGTTGCACAGCGGTTAAGTGCGCGCGCTCTGTTGCTGGCAGCCCGGGTTCAGATCCTGGGCGCACACCGAAGCACCGCTTGTCAGGCCATGCTGTGGTGGCGTCCCATATAAAGTGGAGGAAGATGGGCACAGATGTTAGCCTAGGGCCAGTCTTCCTCAGCAGAAAGAGGAGGATTGGCATGGATGTTAGCTCAGGGCTGATCTTCCTCACACACACACACAAAAGAATTTTCTTTTAATAAGTTCTTCAATATCAAGAGACAAAATACAGTATATTTAACAGTTTGTAAGAATACCAAATTTCTAGCTCCAAGTCTGTAAAATTAGCTAAGGGAGGAATTGACATCTTAAATGTCCAGTTGGTAGAAATGGAAACATAAACTACAGGGAAAGACTGCCAGACAAATTTAAAAGAAGAGTAAAATATCATGAATAAAAAGCAAAATAATATCCCAGTATAAGAGTCTACGTGATTATGATCATCTTCCTGATAATCTGATTCCTCTTTTAAATCACTGATTCTCAAAAGAAAACTTTCAACTTCTACTTCTATAAAAGATGGGATGAAATGTCTAGCTTTATTTCTTATGAGGGCCCCAAATAATTAGTTCTGGAAATGACATTTATTCCCCTTTATACTTACATGAAGGCTGCCTGACCATAGAACCATAAAAAGCAATGGATCATTGTATTTTGTCATTAAACTTCTCACAGTCTAAATTATAAGTTGTAAATGTCATTTAATTTTCATTAGCCCTTGAAAGAATGGTTGAATGATAATTTTCTCTATCTTTCAAATTTAAAGAGGGACTATTTAGAGTAAAACAAAGGACTTCAGACTGTGCTATACATAATAGATTGAACACGTGTTTATTTCTATTTCTTCCCAAGTCCCACTAAAATGATAATAAAGGAAACAAAGAACTTGGGCATTGGAGAGGATTTTAGACATGATCTGATCTAACCCATTCACTTCACAGTGACTTGCTCCTTTAGATTATAGTATAAGTTAGTAGGAAAATCTGGGTCTCCCTTTATTAGGAGGGAGTGGTGAGTTGAAACAATGGAAATAACATTTATTAAATGACTGCCATAAGCTAGGCACTGTGCTAGGGGCTTGACACGTGTGAGCTCCCAAGTTCTTTTTCACTGTAAGATACACAACAATTGGCAAACATGATTTTTGTCCTTTACTCTAGACTAGTGGTTCTCAGTGGTGATAGGAAATGCGTGTGCTGAAAAAGGGCTCCAGGATTTCCCTAGGACTTCAATAAAGAGCTCCTGTGGCTTCATCCAAGTCAGCATTTTCCAAATTTCATTCGTTTCTTGTACTGTCATGATTTGTTTTTTTGCTATATCTGTGTACCAAATTATTATTTATGCTTTTTCTTTAAATGAACTCATTACTTTACTTTCATGCATTTACTTTAAAAGGAAAGTCTGAATCACATCTGTGGATAAAAGTACAGTTGTCCCTCGGTACTCGCAGGCGATTGGTTCCAGGACCTCCTGCGGATACCAAAATCTGTGGATGTTCAAGTCCCTTACTCGGCCCTCTGTATCTGCAGGTTCTGCATCCATGGATACGGAGGGCCAACTGTAACTGCACAAATAAACACAATGAAAACAAAGCAGTGTTATTAACTTCCAGAGATACTGCCATTTGCTAAACGCTCTGAGCTGGAGGCCTGCTGTGTAGGGAAAACAAAAATAAACAAAACAAACAAACCACCCACAACTCCACTTTATTCTAATACCACCTCACTTCTTATCCTGACCACCCCTTCCTCTCCACTCTTCCCATCACTGAGTTTAAAACCAATGTTTTAGACTAGAGGCATACATTTTCATCTATTTAACAGTATCTATTGAGCACCTACTATGTGCCTACTTACTGTACTACACTCTCTGCCTTCATGGAGTTCCATCTGGCAGAAGACATAGATGCTAATTAAATAAACGCAAAATATGCTAAATGCTACCCAAGGGAAAGTACAGACGCTACAGGAGCACCCAACAAGGGGAGCTAACCTCGTCACAGAAAGCCTCCTTGAGATAGTGAGGTGCGCAACAGGATCTGAGGGATAAACAGGAATTGAGAATGGGAGAGAAGAGTTCTAGGTAAAGGGACGGGAGACAGGGAAAAAGCAAGGGATCATTGGTTAGAAGGTGTTCAGGAAAAAGAGCTACAAGTTGTGGTAATGAGAAGTGGTGGCCAGAGAGTGCTGGGTCCCATTTCTGATTCCAGAGGGGAGCAGTCTGGGCCAACAGCAAAATTGGAGGTGGACTTTGGGAATTGGAGTGGGAGGCAGACGTGAGTGAAGTAGATACTTGTTTAAGATGAAGAGGTCAAAGAACTGAGAGGCTCAAGAGAAGGGTAGATCACCTGCGGGGATGGTGATGTCTCCCTAGGATCAAGGCAGCTAGGGTAGAAGATACTGGAAATAGAAAAGATGGACTCGGGCCGGCCTGGTGGCTTAGTGGTTAGGTGCGCGCGCTCCGCCGCTGGTGGCCCAGGTTCGGATCCCGGGCGCGCACTGACGCACCGCTTCTCCGGCCATGCTGAGGCCGCGTCCCACATACAGCAATTAGAAGGATGTGCAGCTATGACATACAACTATCTACTGGGGCTTTGGGGAAAAAAAATAAATAAATAAAAATTATAAAAAAAAAAAAAAGAAAAGATGGACTCACTCTCCTTGCTCTGAGATGCAAGAGCTTTGGGGGAATGAAGAGCCTCCACATGAGAGGGCTGTGGGGCAAGCAGTGTCCTGGCAGTGTTACTGCTGTGTGGAATCCCTTCTTCATGCAGCATCCCTGAGCCTCCTCTCTAGGCCTCGCTATTCCTCCCACATGGATCCAGAGTATACCTGGATGCAGGCTGGCTATTCCCTAACCCCCTGTAGCCCTCACCATTACCCTACTCACCTGGCTCTGGTATATGCTGCTCCGTACTGCAAGGCAGTCTACCCTATCTCACCTACAAGCCCCTTAAGCGCAGGGATTATATTTTTTATTGCTATACTTCATAACTAGCACATGCTCAATACATATTTACCGATGGAGATTAGTTTAAATTTGATAGCATATGTGATGGATCTTTGAAATTGAAGAATATTATGCAACAGGAATCATAATTATTCAAGCCAACATGCATTTACTAGCACTTATTACATTCTGAGACAAAGAGAGCCAATGCTAATAATCTCAAAAGACCTTAGAGGCATAAGGCATAAAGGCATTCCTTGAACCAACCCCCAACCCCTAAACTCTTCATTTACCATCTTGTCCTAGAAGGAATAAAAGACTACCAAGCCCAGAGTTTCCAAACCAGGTTGAATGTCAGAATCATCTAGAAAGCTTGTTAAAAATACAGATTCCTAGGTCCCATCCCAGACCTATGAATAAGAAGCTCTGGGTTTGGATCTTGGAATTTATGGTTTTCAATTATCTCCCTGGGTGATTCAGAGTCAGAGGGTCCATGGACTGGCATCTAGAGACCACTAATATACTTTCTCATTTCCTCTACAACAGCCCTAATGGTGCTGCAGACTGAACACTCCAGTAAGAGAGAACTATCACTAACCTTCCATTCTGGATTTAGATTACCCTGAAACAGTATAATTACAGGCCTCTGATAAAGGCAAGGTAGCAGAGAGGTTCAGAGTACAGACTCTGGAACTGGATTTCCTAGATTCGAATCCTGACTCTGACTCTAACCAGCCTTGCAACTTTTATAACTGACTTAATCTCTCTGTGCCTCAGTCCTCTCATCTTTAAAACAGGGAAAATAATATACCTATTCTCATAGGACTATTATAAGGTCTGAATAAGACAGTGTATATAAAACAGAGTCTGCCAATAGGAATCACTGAATAAGCTCTATTTATTATTATTGTTGCCTGTTCTTTCAGATATTGTGCTAAAATCTACACCTGATAGTAAAACCAATATTTAAGATAAATGAAACTCTTTTACTCAGAATACTATGCAACCATTTAAAAATCTTGGAGGGGGGAGGGGAAACACCATTACGTAACTTCAATCTTTAAATTTCACATTTTTCTTTTTCTCATTGCAAATAAATATTTTGCAATAACATGGACCAAATAGGCATTGTAAACTGACCCTGGAGCCCAACCCCAATATGATGAATTGTTTCTGTGTATCCTGAGTTTGTGGTAAAGAACCTTTGTTGTGATCTATCTAGCTTAGCTTATGTTTCCCTTTTTTGAGCCCTGCCTCTATCTTCTCAGGCCCAGGAGGAAGTCAACCCATTGGTTGAACTAATCAGAAGCTTTGTTCTTGGTATTTGGAATTGAGACACTGTGGGTTAGGGCCATTTGAGGAAGAGAAGGCATATAGGGGCTGAGGCAGTCAGGTTTGGGCCACATATAGAGAGAAGCAGAAAGAAAGGACAACAGGGAGGGAGAAGGGAACGGGAGAGCAGTAACAGAGGAGAGAGGGGATGGGGAGGAGGAGTAGGAGGAGCACAGGGGAAGAGAAAGAGAGACTCCCACAAGCTGCTCTGGCTCCTGACAGAATTCTACTTCCTGGCTCCAATATGACTTTTTATTTTTAAAGAAATAAACATATTTATTCAATTTTATTCAGAATTAAAACCACAAAAATGAAGACTGAATGTGCAAACAAAGAAGGAAATGGAGAAATAGGTAGGTAGGAGAAAAAAGATTAAGTTCAGCAGAAGTGATTGAACTGTGGCTGTGGCTCCCAGCAATCCTCATCATGGATCCACAACTCCTCTCCTCCGTACACACTGGAGTTGGCAGACAAGTTGCCCACA